AGATTGACAGCTACACATCGCAATTCTCGTGGAATAGTGAGTTAACTTAATCAACTGTGAAGAAATTAATTGAAAAATTCAGGGAGATTGGATCAATTAGTGATCTGAAACAGTCTGGTCATTCTTCAACAAGTCGTTCAACACAAAACATGAAGCAGCTCTTGACAGTGTTGCTGAGTGTCCAGGAACATCAATTCGGCACCGTGGTCAAGAATTGAACATTTCAAGAAACTTTCTACAGTGTATTCTCACGAAAGATTTGCATCTTCATGCTTACGAATTTCAATTGTCTCAATAACTGAAGCTTACTGACCATGTAGACCGAAGACAGTTTGTTGAATGGAACAAGTGGACCCCGACTTTTCGTAATCTACAGCGATGATGCTCATTTTCATCTTCATGGTTTCGTTAATAGACAAAATTGTCGCATTTGAAGTTCAGAAAATTCACAAGTGATTGTTGAGAAACAAATACATCCGCGTCACTATTTGTTGCGAATTTTGGACTGGAGGCATCATCGGACCATTTTTCTTCGAAAATACAGCAGGTCACGTAATAATAGTTAATGACGCTCGCTATCGCGATATGATGGTAACCGCTGTCAATGCTTCGGCCACGGGCAGTCGCACTGCACGGCGGCGCGTCAAATGTGGCGAAAGCCAGAGCCCTCACGAGTGTAAAAAGACACTCGATACACCGGTCAGATGTGCAAATTGCACCGGCCGCGGCCCCACCCTGCCAGCTACATGGGGTGCCCCAATTACCCCAAACCGACTAAAACGACAACATAAAATACACAAAACATGACACCACAAAACACACAAAAACGTACACTACTACCCACCCCCACCCTCCCCCGCCCCTGGACTATTTTACGCCGCCATAACTAAAAAGACACAGCAACGAAACCCGCCTAAACAGATACGAAAACAAAACAACACCTCGCCCAACACAAACCCGACACTACCCCAACCGGCCACAGCGGTCCTAATTGACGCAACTAATCGTCTTCAAGACTTCTGCGTCCAGCTAGCGACCATGATGTCAAAGATGTAAAAATTGTTTGACTTCTAATGGCTCGCCCTCTTACCCAACCCTCCTCGCTGAGAAACTTGACGGGTTGTAGGGCAGAAAGTTGGTACTGGTGAACATCCTGAATTGATTTTAAAATATTGAAATGATTTTACAAAAAATATTTCATATCAATGAGATAAGCAAATATTTATATTTTTTATTAGGTACGTTTTTTAAAAAGCAGATATAAATATTTTTTAATAAAAATTAGTTTTATTTACAATTAGTAATATAATATAATAATATTTATATTTTTTAAAAAAANTTAGTTTTATTTACAATTAGTAATATAATATAATAATATTTATATTTTTAAAAACAATAGAATGTTTCTTAATATTCGGCTGTTCGTCCACATCGACATCAAACAAGTGACTTTAAAATAAAACCGCTAAGTCGTACAAAAATAATCCGATTTACCAAACTATTTTCCGTCATAGTTTCGCTATCAAACTGTTAATATAAAAATGTAACAAATGGCATGGCTCATAAGTGATGATGCAACAGCGTAAATATGATTTTAAATGCAGTTTAAAAATCGAATTATAACTAGTCTATTTATGTGATTTAAAAAAATCAGGTTAGTATTTTAGGGACCTGTCCTTCTCCCGTTTTTTTTTTTGTTTTATAGGTGTATAAATATTGAAGGCACCATAGCGAATAAAGACCACCGCATTGGGTAAACTTAACATCCGGGGTTGCAAAAACGGGTGGCGCCTTCATAACATTCTTTTAGCTGTCGACCCACTTCGTCTCCACTGGAGCTAGCGGCCAACCCCTTTTGTGGAATATATTCGCTACCCTCGTTCCACCGATCCACCTGAAATACAAAAACCTACCCGCCTTTTTTTGCTAGATTTATATTTAGTTTATTTATATTTTTTTGTCATCTAAAAAACTGATCACCCCCCACTCGCACGCGCGCGCACGCACACACATACACATACCAAAAATTTCAAGAGTTTATACTTTACAAAATGCTGAGTGCATTAGAATTAAAACAACCGATAGAGGAATTAGGAACAAACTAAACCAAGAGAAATTGTATTTGCTTTTGTTTCGGCAAAGGTAGACCTGATTCGCACCAGGAAATTAGAAAACTCCGATCTGATGCACGCCTAGGAAGATTTGGCACAACAGATGAAGTAGAAAAACCTGTCGCACAGGTCCAAGAAGACCTCAGCAAAGCTAGCGAAGTACATCCGCCACGACACAACGATTAACCTCTGAAAAATTAAGACTAACGTCTACCTAGACAGCATAGCTCTCCTAAACGACCAGATAGATGAAATAGTCAACCGGGTCCTAAGGAAAACCTACTAGAGCTCAAATAGACCGACCACCTAGGGAGACACTAACGACCTAGACGAGGAGGTAGTTACTACTAAACCGCCAGGGAAACGAGACCCGCTCCATCTTCCCAACAATAGAAAAGAGATAAACAAGGTGGAGAATTGACAAGAGCGGCCAGAAGCCACAAAGAGGACGAAACCGCTCCAAAAATCGACGCCTAACCGAAAACAGAAATACGGCTAGAAGAGCGTAGAACAAGCGATATAACGAAGAAAAACAAGAAAATGGCAAGAAAACACGCGGACACCGATACGATGCCACGAACGAAGCCGCTTACAACTTCGAAAGGTTACCGAAATACTGAAAATGGGAAACGAGCACTAAGAAAGTCCCATAACATACAAGACAAGCGCGCGACCAACGAAGAAACGCAGTCACGAAACGGAGTTGGAAAACCACAAACACCGACCGTACCCAAAAATCCGAAACCGAAGCGAAATTCTGAAAACAAATGAACACTCCGGAGAATGCTAGGGAAACAAACGGACGAGTGCACAAGGCACGAAAATGGGACGTTGAAAAGCAGCGGCAGACCAATTACGAAACAGAGGAGAAAAACGGAGATCGACGACAAAAATAGTCCATTGGCTTAGAGACTTAACGAGGGATAGGAACAGCGTAACCGTTAATAGGTGAAGAACATGCCAGGGAGATGGCAGCGAAGAAAACTATTAGACATGGTAATTGGTAAACACAAACGATGATAATGTGGACGCACCTCGTCTGACGATATAGATATCGGACAAGGAAATCGAAGCCTTGGTAGAACTGGGGCTAGTGTAAACCTGTTTGACCTTGGCTAGCGGAACCGCAGGTGGTGATAAACTTTATACAGCGAACACTATATTACGAAACAGATATAAGCCGTTGTGCCTTATTGGCAGAACAGTACACGCAAAAACAAAACTAGGAAATTGAAGAAGCTAGAGAATTAAAAGTAAGACTTTCTGACGACGTCAACAATGGAAGAATCTATGGATGTATTTTCCGTAGAACCGAAACCGACTTTAACGAAATGGGCAGAGCGTAGAATAATGCTCAAGGATGATATCCTCGTGAAGGCACCCACTCTGAGAAGAAAAAGAGGCTGATCAACGAAGGTTGCGAGGGTATGCTCCACAGTGCACACTGAATTATTATAGATCACCAGCTGTACTAGTACAGAAGGATTAATATCGGTTTCGTTTGGACTATAGGAAGTTGAATGAAAAGACAATCGCCGAAGCACAGGAAATTTGCCGCCCGTGGACGAAACTATTAAAGAATTGGGTGAAGCAAACGACATTCGACTTAAAGACTGAACACTGACAGATGCAACCAAAATAATTGTTCAAATAACAGGTTACGTGGTTATAGGGTTATGCTACAATGAGATCATGAATTCTAATGTTTTTCCAATTACGTAAGTCCGTTTGAAATCTTGAAAACCGCTTTATAGAGGATTTTTTTTGATGTTAGGGCCAAAACACGCACTGATCCCGAAATTTTAACTTTAAATTCGAATTCAGCGGCTCAAAGTACTATAAGATACATTGGTCTGATCCACGGCCCATCCCACTTTTTTATTTCGTGACGCTGTTTAATTGTCAACTACAAAGGAGCCAGTCGCTATTTGTCGACTTGACCTTTCGCTCGTGACGGCGACACTGAGGCCGAGCTGCGCGCTGCGTGGTACTCTCCTCGCCGGTTGGTAAATATGACATTGTTTGAACCACCCTGTACTTTAGTATATGCAAAAATAGAAAAATACGACTCACCCGGGATTGCGAACTGCGGACCTTCGGCTTCGCAGTCGCGAGCTTACAAACTGAGCTACGGCGGCCTATCGATGGATGGAGCTTGTACGGATTATTTGAAAGTTTGGGTCTCTGGGGGTGTAAACACAACATTTAAAATGTTCAAATGAAGTTTTATGATGCCTCAAATACTAAAATAACGACCTACTGCAATAACGTTTGCCTGACGTTCAGTCGATTTTTCAAGAGGGCATTCCCGTCGAGTTTCATATCTCTCCCACAGCGAAAATGTGCGAATTGGGCTGAGGAGCCGCAGGAAAAGTGAAATTTCACTCGGAAAACATTAAGAAATCGCCTTCAAAATTGCCTACCTGATAAAGGAAGGAGCATGGGTCGTTTCACGACCTGCCGCTTGCCGCTGCGGACTCGCGAGAAAAGTGGGCGCAAAATGCCATTTTTCGAGATCACTGTGGGATCAAAAATCACCTACAGCTTTTAATATATATGAATGCTTTTAGTATATGTTTAACATAGTATCGTTGACATCATTTGTTTTAAATTCGTTAATAAAATTAAAATTTAACCGACATAATGAAGGGAAGATGAGAAAACATTTATATGGAGCTAATTACATTTAAATGGAATCCGTAGATCGACACGCTGAAATACGGAGAATTCCAAAAACTCCATAAAACTGGTTAACCATTTTTGCAATGAAACTCTACATATATGGTATGGGTGGGTATTATTCAGCTATATAACTCTCGATGCGATTTCCGGAATTGTGTATTTCTCATGCTAACGATAGTAAATAATTTTAAAATAATAAATACATACTATTAAGTAATAGAAGACAAATATTACCAAGAAAGATATCCTCATCATCATGAATAACTTGAGCTGTAATAGCAGCCATCCCATGAACAAGTGTTAATAAAGCGCAGTAAGGGCTCTGATTGTCTGAAGTAAACGCGCTACTTATGTGCAAACCTACATTTGCCCTATGGAACTCTCCACACAACATCCCCAGGCCAAATTTTTATCCCTACCTAAAAATAAAATAATTGTACATATATGTCATGTGGAACAACTTTTAAAAGTGAAGGTTTCAAATACATGTTCATTAATGTTCACGAAATATTTTACCCCCTTACCTCATTAGTATTTTTACTTAGAGAAAGATGGTGTACCGCAGTTTTAGTAATTTTTCTTGTGACTTCATAGCAGTGGATAAGAAAACAATTATTCAATGGAGTGTTTCAGGAATAAAACCTAACTAGTTTTTTTTTTTAATAGAATAATACAATAATATAAGTTTGAGGGGTCTATCTCTGTAGTACGAAAGATATGGTCAAAAGATTATCCCACAAGCGTAATGTGTTAGACAAAGATTTGGTTACCCTGAAAACTGCTAACAGACGCAAACTCTTTGAGCAAATTTTTCTTATTAATGAAGACAGACCAATCAAACCTTATATCATCTTAAGAATCATATTCAAATATGTGAAAATATTCGCGGACTTCTATTTAAAAAAGTTTAATTTAAGTATGTCCTTGAAAAAAGTATTGTCATGAATAAAGGATTAAAACGTTACGTGAATATACCTACATATTTTTTGTATAAGCTTTAAATGAATATTTTAATATAAGACAACTATAATAATAGCAGTAAAATAAACTGTAATAAGTTTTATTCTTTTAAAATCCTAAAATACTAAATTTTCAAAATTTAAAATAAAATTATTCTTTGCACATACATACACTTAATTCATAACAGAGTTGTGTGTTTCATGCTGAGTGGAAACGCCGTATGGACATCAGTATCAATGATAAAACATTTCATGAAACTGACATTCTTTAAATGAATCTAAGATGACCAAATGAACTTATCGACATCTCAATTTGCAGTCTGCACAAGGTTATTCACATAACATTCTACCCCCTTTATCTTTTTTACTTTGCTATCTAGCAAAAAATGGTAGTTTTATGAAATTTTCTTGGGATTTCAAAGAAATATTTAAAAAATCAATGACACGTTTCGAATAATATGTAATCCAAACTTAAGTTTTTTTAATGGAACACTGTATTTTTGTTGCTTTTTGGAATCTGCCGCTTTTTCGGATGACAGTGATATACAGGGTGTTTCATTTCAAATGAATATAGGACCATAACTTTCTTCATAAGGGAGATAAAGAAAAAATGTTTTGACTGTTGTTTAAAGGCCATTTTTGTACACTTTCTGGTATCGTAATGTAATCTCGATCAAGCTATGACGTCACCACAGCGAAAAACAAAATGAACGATAAGAATAAAGTAGAAAAATTCAAAATTGCTATTCCGCTATTAAGTTTTTATTTTCTATGGAGAATTCTGAAAGATAAGGGAGAAAATATTGAACGAATTTTGGTAGTATTAGAGAAATGGATAACAATTCAGTATAAAAAAATAATATATTGGAATATATGTCCTTTATGTCCCCTGTCTAGAGCAGGATGAAGGTATTATACCACTATTATATTTTTTCATTTTTTCTTAATAAAGAGTTTATTTGTTTACTAAATTTAATAGCGGAAAACTTGCCCATGAAGTGGATCTTTGGCAACCTGGACTATGTGCAGGAGCAGGATCAGTAAATAAATTAAAATACTGTGTAAACTATTATATATGTATATGACTATACAGGGTGTATTTAAATGGAGGGGCACAAATGATACCAGAGATTCCTTGGGTGAAAATAAGTCGATTTACCCTAACATACCTATATCCCAAGTTGCATAATAAAAAAGATACAAGGTGTCAAAGTGAAAAATAAAAAATGGTTTTTCCTTAATAATTTCTATAATTTTAGTCAGAAATATATAAAATTTTCAACAGAGAGGTTTTTTAATGAAAGTAGAAAGGAAAAGTAATATAATAATGATTTTTTATTGTCGATTACGAGGCGCCCTCTGCAGGCAATATTATGCATTGAATATGTAGTAACTTTTTTGCCAACCGCCGTATACAGCTTTTAGTAACAAAATATGAAATATTAGACTTTTTTAACAAAAAAGGTATACTTATTGAAAATGGCTAAAGCCAACCGTTGAGGAGATATTTTTAATTTCATATATTAGTACATCCAAATTTCAACATAATTTTAGTTTAAATGTATTGGCCGAAATCGTAGGAGATTATCTTATTGGTCCGTTTATTCTTCCTCGGCGTCTCGGCAGAGCCGAATATTTGAGATTTTTAAATGAGCAACTCCCAATATTGCTTGAATACGTGCCACTAGCTATCCGTGAAATTATGTGATACGCACATGACGGAGCTCCTGCTCATCGTACATTAGCTGTGAGACAATGGTTAAATTTAAATTTTCCTGGGAGATGGATAGGTCGAGGGAACGATGCACCAGTCAAATGGCCTGCGTGATCACCGGATCTCACATCCATAGACTATTTTTTATGGGGTTACTTAAAAAATGTTGTTTATTCCAACCCTATTGATAGTGTGGAGATGCTTTTTGCAGCAGCTAAGGAAGTAAAGAATGACTCATATTTTTTCAAGAATTCGTCGTAATTTTAATCCTAGAATTAGACTAAGCTTACAGAAAAATGGAAATTACTTCCTTTAAAAAATCTTGTTTTTTCTATTGTCAGCCAGTTGTTTATCTTAAATTATCTATTGACTGTTGTTAAGTGACTCTTGATTTTAGTTGTTTTTTCTGATAATTATTATTAAACTAACAATAAATAAGAATTTTGCATTATTTTTTCATATGTACTGTTATTTCATATAAGATTTTAATGCAGGGTTTAAATAATTTCACATGCACAAGAAAAATGTGTTTTTTAATAAAGACTCCGAAAAAACAATTAAATAGAAATTATGCAACAAGTGTATTCACACATGCTAAAATAATACGCAAAAAAGTAAAATAAATTTAAAACAGCAAAAATAATGTTGTCTCAGTTGATTCCTGCGCCCCCTTTTGGCCTAATTTTAAAATACAGATACACAACTAATAAGTACTGTGAGGCAATGAGTTCTGAATTTATTAACAAAAGTGTCTGTCTGTACCTTGGTATTCGTGGAGGTATACCTGTAAATCCCTAACACTAATTTATGAAATTAAAAATATCTCCTCAACGGTTAGCTTTAGCTATTTTCAATAAGTATACCTTTTTTGTTAAAAAAAAGTCCAATATTTCATATTTTGTAACTAAAAACTCAAAAATCATTATTATATTATTTTTCTCATCATTAAAAAACCTCTCTGTTAAAAATTTAAAACATTTCTGACTAAAATTATAGAAATTATTAAGGAAAAACCATTTTTTATGTTAGGTTAAATCGACTTATTTTCACCCAAGGAATCTCTGGTATCATTTGTGCCCCTCCATTTAAATACACCCTGTATACGTTGAGTATTTCTCACTCAATATATTATATCAATGTAATCAGAAAGAGAAGAATTCAAAAACGACAAATATATATAGGAAGGCTTATTTAAAAAACAAAAGTTTAACTTATATTTTCGAAACCCAACAGTCGATCGTTTTTTTATATGAAATCATAAGAATATTTACTAAAATTTTTATTTATATTATTTTTCCTTATAGAAAGGTAAAAAAGATAAGAGGAGTATGTTATGTGAATGAAACTGTACACTAATTTCTTTCAAAAATATTGAGTGACATTTTAATGAAACAACGTTAGCCGCAAATCTGTCAAACGCAAAAAGAATAAAATATATTAAATTTTTCGATGGTTTTGGTTTTTCAAAGACGCAATGAAAAATAAAACTTGTATATATTTAAGTTTGGATCAAATCATAGTGTAATCAACCAGTTATAGTAACTTGGAATTTTTATTTTTACGCTATGAGTATCATCGAGTCCGAAGACCGCCGAAGTAAGGTTCCGCGCATATCCAATTCTGAGGTGACATGACACCTGGCAAAGTAATTATACTTCAGAGTTAGTTCCGTTCCAGCGTTTCGACCGTATAGATGTGCCCAGAAAAGGAAGTTAGTAAAAGGTTTAGGTAAAGACTTGCCTACTGACTGCTTTGTATTAATCATACCTTGCCTTTCAGATATCCGCCCGTACTACGACGTGGTTGGGTATGCTATTGTCTCTTTCCGGTACACTTGACCTAATTTCGCGTTCGGTTTATAGGATGTTGTTTCCCCCTTTTCTGTCATATGAGTTGAAACGCACATCGTATTTAATCATCTTTCTTTCCAGATATCCCCCGGACTAATTAACCATACCTTGCTTTACAGATATCCGTCCGTATTACGACATGTGATGTTGTCTCTTTCCGGTACACTTGACCTGACTACACGTTCGGCTGATAGGATGTCCCCCCCCTTTCTCTCCTATGAGGCTGAAACGCAGGTCATAATTAATCATACTTTTATTTCAGATCGCCAGCCGCTGCCGCTAGCCAGTCTTGAGGAGCCCTGTTATTACAGCATATCTCTTTTTCTTTGTATAGAGACAGTAGCTATGCCTTTAGTCAGTAAATATAGCTTTACTCTTTGTCCATTTTCTCACTTCTGGCATGAGCACCCCGCTTACCGTAATAACAGCTTGGTTGTTTCTGCTGTTCCGCTAACTCTGTTGTGCTTTGCTTTTAATCAGGTGACCGCTTAACACCGAACCGTTATTTTACCGTTTCCAGTAGTCACCACCTGCGCATCACCGTAGCCGTTTGTCACTGTCTAACCATAGCTTAATAAACTCATCAACTTTTAGCCTCGTTGCATACTTGCCGGACCGGCTATCCGGATCCGGCTGGCTCTTTCACACGTAATTTAATTTTCAAACCGATTTGGCCGATATTAGTCTCAGTTGCATTTTCACGACAAGAGATGGATCGTAGACGCATTGCAATAATTATGTGGCTTGGCTATTGCCGATGTCGTCGCAATAAAAAAAAAAACAAAAAATATGAAAAATATCCAAAAAAATATGAAAAAGCTAAAGTTTTGTCCCACTGAACAGGACTGGATTAAAGCAGTGATATAAAGAATGCTATATCTACTTCTAGCGAACAA